CCACCCCGTCCAGCCGGCCCGGGGCCGCTGTTGGCCGGGCTCCTGGCGCGGTTGTTTCTCAGCAGGGATCAGGAGAGACCCCAGGGAATCCCGTGAGGATTGCCAGTACAGAAAAAGATGGCTGCAGTGGGGTGGAAGATGCCTTCCCGTTTACCTGGCGTAACCGCCGGGGTTAGCAAAGGATTTAGTTTGACCAGTGAAGGAATTACGTTTTGCTGGGGGATGGAAAGGGGATTAAGCTTTTCTCCAGGGGAAGCAGAGTTGTAAGAGAGAGAGACCGAGACGAATCAAGTGAGGTAGAAGGACAAGACTGGAAACGGAAGCGAGGTGGCCGTGTTCATTACGGGCCTACGGCCAGGGATTTTGAGGGCAACAGCTAAGCAAAACTCTTTTTGCCATTGTGAAGGTGTGAGATTGGAGAGGTGCTCTCAGTAGAAAGGTAATCTCGGGCTAGTCGATTTTAATTTATGAAGAGCAGCGTCCTGGCTGAGTAACTCCTCTTGGTGTGCACGTACAGCTCGTAAGGCCTGGAGGTCCTTTCCAGGTTGGGACCATAGGTCCCTCTTTAAAATTGACTGTGCTGGCCTGGCAAACAGGTGGGGCTGCGCTCCGCAGACGGACACGCGGCTCCACCAAGTGCAGTGCTCTGGGTGTTGGGGAAAGAAGGGCTGCTGGGACGGGAAAACGATCGGAGGAACACGAGCTGATACGGCGGGGTTGTAGCAGGTGGCTGCAATGAACTGTTAAAAACGTTTCGCATGAGAAAAAGTGCATGTCATGAGGGGGGTCAGTGAAAGCCGATGAAGGTTAAGAAATTGGATACCATCACTGAGGCTGTAGCAACAGGAATAAACAGTGTCTGTGAGAGCCAGATCTGAAATGGACAGCCCCAGTCTGCTTCAAAATAAGAATATAAATAAACAGTTCTGGCAGAGGAACAGAGGCAGCATACTACAGTGCCTGTTACCCAGCAAGCTGCTGCTTTGAAGCTTGTATCAGCAAGCGTCTGCTTCTCCAGTGCGAATGCCTCATTTTGCGCAAGGATAGCTTTTTATGCGGTAACTAGGATTAAGTCAGCTTCTCAGAGAGGCAGCTTGGGGTGTCTGCAGCTCTTCTTTTAGGTCTGCTGTGTTGGTACTTGGTTTTGATTCCTTGCACTGTCTTAATGTTCTGTGATTGCTTTCTCTTTTTGAAAAGATACCAGAAAATCTGAAGCTTGAATTCAAGTGTCAAAATTGGTTAAAGCAATGATTGGAGCGGGAGCAGCATTATCTGTCTGTGGGGTCTTGGTACTCACATAGCCTGCTATTCCTTGCCTTTGCTGAACTTGTCTCTGCAGGCTATCCATTCTAAGTTCACCAAACAAGTGTCCTGTAGGAAGTCTAGTCATTAATTAAAATTTGTAAATTCAAGTAAGTCCAGGGAGATTTAACAGAACATCCAATGTCCTAGTACTTTCATATGTCAAAGATCTAGGTAGGAGTTATAAAATACATTTCATGATTTTCTTTCTGAAGAAACTTCTACTGTTGTTGAGTGGTGGTGAGCAATCCTAGAATCAGAAGTTATTTTCTCATAATGCATAGAGCAATAAGCTATAAGTTAGCTGTTACCACTCAGGAAAGAGACAAGGAGATGGTCAGAAGTCCTACTAGAGGAACTAAGGAAAACCAGTTAGCTTTGTGATGCTCCTCGGTATGTTTGTCTTGAGTACACAGTTGTGGTGATCACTTCACAAAAACAGCATAATATACTAGACTAGGTACAGAGAATGGCAGCCAGGGTGATCAGAAGTATTGATTGGTTTCCACATGAAAAATAAACATACCAGCATTATTCAGTATGGAAAAGAAGCAGCTGTGGAGATTTATGCTAGAAGTCTTTGGAGTGAGGAGTGGCATGGAAAAGGTGAAACCTGACGTGGCTGTTGATTGTCCCTCACAAAACAAGAAGCAGGAAGCACTGAAGGTAATTATCAGGCAAAGGTTATAGTTTTTATGCAGTGTATAATTCATCTCTGGAAATTATTGCAATGGGATATTGGAGAGGCTAAAAGCATGAAGGATTAAAAAAAATTACAAGGTAAACTCTTTGTCCATGAATGACTATCTACCACAGTGGATTGGAGGAGACCTTTATGTCTTCGAAGGTCTCTTAAGCATCAGCTTCTTGGGACCTGGGAAGGTAGGCTAGGGAAGGAGTCTTTCAAAACTCGCCTCTTTCTTATGTTCCCTTCCCAGACATCTGGTGCTGGCTGTTTGGAGAACTAGGGCACCACAGAAACATCTCCAACCCGGTGTGCCGTTTCTTCTAGAACAAAAGCCTCATTAGGGGAAGCCCTGCAATTATCCCTCATAAATGCCTGCCATTACAGTATTATCAGTTGTGTGGATAATTGCATGAGATCCATCTGGCCGGCTGGCTAGAGGAAGTCATACATGAGAAATTAGAGTAAGTGGAGGTGAGAATCACTGAAAGAGTAGTGGCCTTGTGTTGCCTACATAGCTTTGCATCTTGCCTCAGTCTTTTCTTAAGCATGCTATTCTTCTCGTCTTCTTTCTTATGTTCATTTGAAAGAGACTTTTTTCCTCTTTAAAACTGTAAGGCAGTGGTTCTGGTACTATTGACTGTGTAGAACTGGTCGTGTGATACTCTGTCCTTTTTTTCCTTGGTTCTAGTTAATAAATTGCATTAAAAATGAATAAAGTACATTAAATTTTCATACTTATTTCATGCCTACCTTCTTCATACAATTTTCTCATATTAGCTGCAGCTGAAATTCCCATAAGAATGTTACGTCGTCAGTGTTGGGTGGAGAATTGGGCCTCTCTGATAGTAAATGAGAAGAAGAGTGAGTCTCCATTAAGACGTATCTTGGCTTGTTCACCGAAGTGAGCCTTCTCTTACGACCTTTTACAGCACGAGGACCTGTTTCACAATATGTCAGTGAGGCATCAAGTTCTTTCTCTTATACAAATCAGTAATAAGCCTGCCACCGTATTAGTCAGTCAGAACGTAGCCTCCAGTATGACAGTGCTCAAAATATGTTGTAAAAAAATAATTGAAGTCCTGTATTTTTTATGTTCCTTCCTTTCTGGTGATGGATTTCAGTTCAGTTCAGGTCTCTGAATGTTCCTGGATTAAAGCTAAAGTGAGGAGTAATGAAAACTATGAAAGAGCCTTCATTTTCACTGTTACTAATGAGACTAACCTAATACCTTACGGTTACGCGTTTCTTAGAGGTTTTTTCCACCCTTTTTGCAATATGCTAAGTAGATCAGTGGGAACTGATCTAAATTTGATATTACCTCTTACAAATAAGAGGAACAAAATGGCTGACGTTATCATGATCATTTGAGGAAGCTGAAGAAGAAACAACTTTGAAGGTGAAGGCTGACGCGGTTGTAAGAAATTAACTTAGAAACTAGCAGCCTCATGGTTTAATAAGCCAGGGTATGATTGTTCATATTGTATGGCAAGAGTGCTGGTAACCATAGCCAAAAGTAAGAGCTTGCTTTATTATATTGTCGTTTACATTAAAATCTGGAACAAAGCCGTCTGTGCCCTGGAGACAGAGGGACTTCCAGTTGTGACTTCTGTGGAGTTAGGACTTCAACGTGGGTTTCTCAGGCAGCTGAACAAACAGCTGAGGTTACTTCTGTATAAAATAATCTGCAGTCCTCAATGCCCTTTCTTTCCTTTCCATCCCCTTCTCACTTGTTTCCTTTTTTTTTTTTTTAATTTTGATTCTTGTTTTCTTCAGCAAAAACTCTCTTTAAGACCGAAAACATCATTTTACTTTTTATATTTTCTTTCATATTTGGAAGGTGTAACAAAACAAAGAAATTGTGAGGTAATAGTGGAATGAAAGGAGGAAGAACAGGAAATGTGAGAAAAATTAAGAAGCAGTGTCCAAACCTGCTGTGTCTGAACTCAGTGGCAAAACTCTTGTTAGATTGCGATCAGTTACTTAAAAGAATGTGTGCCCATTCATTGCAGGTTGACCTCACGCGAACCTTCACCTTCCGCAACTCGAAGCAGACATACACAGGAATTCCCATTATAGTGGCAAACATGGACACTGTGGGGACATTTGAAATGGCTGTGGTTATGGCAAAAGTAAGTCTTGATTCTCATTGCTGCAACAGTTGGGAAGCCACTAGGTGACAGTGAGCAACCTTTGTCAATTTTTAGCTGTGTTTGTGGAGAACACAGGGCAAGAGTTAAAAAATCCAGAACAAGACGATGTAGTTTCACAGCAGAGCAGCTGTGCTTTTACAGCAGTGCAGGTACCAGAGACAGAGCTCCAGGTACAGGATAGTTTCAGTGGAGATGCTTACTGGGAAGCTTCTGTCTTGGGTGTAGCTCAGCTTCAGGTGGAGCTTCTAGAGCTTAGTTTTTGAGGTCTATATAGTGCTCCCTTCCAGAAAAAAATTATTAGCTGACAACAGTTTTGAAAATGTAGGTTACTGAATAAAGCTGCAACAGTCAGGAGTCACTAGTTAATTAGCCTCTGGCCTCAAGGCTCACCTTAATTTCTTGCAGTGCTTAAGCGCATTCAAAATATTGACCGTAACTTCATGAAACACTTCAGAAACCTGATCCTGAAAGGTCAGCTAAGTACTCTAAATTACCTTTGAAGAGCCGTTTGGAGTTGCCTGGTCTGTTACTCACTCTTGCTGTTTCTTTCAAGCAGGATAAGCCTATACTTAAAATGGGAATTTCTGACATCTTGTTATTCTGAAGCTGAGGGAAAAATGACTGACTTGGACATTAATATAAGTTTTCTTGTTTTTGCTAGCATGCCATGTTCACTGCAATTCACAAGCACTATTCTCTGGAAGAGTGGAAACTGTTTGCTGCCAATCACCCAGAATGCCTTGAGGTACATTTTCGTACTGTAAATTATTATGGTTTATTGCTTTGTTCTGAACTCGCATACAGTGGAGTCTCTTGGGAATGCTGTTGTCAAGTGAGGTTTTGAGGAATGAAGATATTTGCTGTTCTTAAATGCATCAAGGGAAGTGGCTTGTCCTGGTTTAAAAAGAATAGCTGTGTGAGTCCATTATGAAAGTGCTTATATTAAGATGCAAAAAAGCCAAGTTTATATATGCCTGGAATGGAAACAGAGAGGCATCGTGAACAAAGAAGAGGGAAATACTTGGGAATAGGTCTAACTGCTGTGCTTCTGTTGCTGTTGGGAGTTGTTGTGCTTGTGAGGGAGAAGCTGAAGACCACGAATATGAATAGCTTTTGAGTAACCCAGCCACAAGTTGGCCCTGCACACCCCTGTCCTAGGCAGAGTCTTTGCTATCAGGTGTGCAAGTGGACCTGGAGCCTGCGGGCTGGAGGGGCTCAGGTACTGGAACCAAGCAGGGATGAGCATTGAAAGTTGTCGTGAGCATTGAAAGTTGTCAGAGCATGTGTGTCCTCCGTTTACCTCCTCGCACTAGAGCTCATGCTGTGCTGCTACTAGCTGTACTACTGTTCACAGGGTCCTAGCCTGAGCCATTACAGAGAAACACCATTTAGTAAATTGAAACATTGACTTAAGTTCCGACTTTTTCATATATAGAGTTCTTCTGTGTTCTTCTGGCAGGCCCCTTACACCAGGAGAGGGAGTATAAGAGCATGCCTGGCTGTCTCCCCTCCTCCTCGGAGTTCAGTGCAATTTTGAAACTTTTTCTGTGTGGAAGAGAATACTACACAGCTGCATTGCATCTTTACCTGTGGCACATTTTAGAATTATAAAGACTGTTTATTACAGAATTGTCTGAAAGTCAGCCTATCACTTAGGTTCATCAGGGTTACTTATATGCCACTGTAGGGTAGAAAGTGGTCCCAGAAATATGCTGTGTCTGAACACTTCGGCACTTAGCTCATTTGTGGTTCATAATCACTGGAGTAGGATCTCCTAGTGATTAAATACTGACTTGCTCTGTGACCTTGGCTCTCTGCAGAGGATTTGTGGGCCAACAGCTGTGGAAACTATTTTTCTGTTGGAGAGAACTCGTAGGAACACAAAGGAGGAAGCACCCTGCTTGTTTTCAGTGGTGGCTGACTGTGCTTGAGCAAGGGCGTTGGACTGCACAGTCTCCAGAGGTCCCTTCCGAACTCAGCTATTCTGTGATTCTATGTGAACTGGAAGACCCAAATTTCACTCTCTGACAGTGCCCCAAATTTTGTCAGTCTGCCTTCCTGGAAATATACCAAGTTAGGACTTCTTCTGTGTTTGTGTTTATGTGAGTATGGCTGAGCCTTCATCCATCTCAGGCGATTGTATTTGCCTGTGAGAATCCACGTCTGAATGAAGAGCTGATAAAATGCCAATTTTGCTTTATTTTAAAGCCTTTAAACAAAACAGAGTAACACATTGATATTCCCAGGAAGGTATGTATTTCGTATTATGTAGTATGATTTTCACTAATTTCCAGCAAGAGTCCTCTCAAGACTATGCAGAAAAAGACATACGAATTGTGTGTTTATCCCGGTTTTTACAAACTACTACTCCTTTTTGTTCTCCCTGTCTTTCTAGCATGTAGCAGCAAGCTCAGGTAGTGGAAAAGCTGATTTGGACAAGTTAACAAGTATTCTAGAGGCCATTCCACATGTCAGATACATTTGCCTGGATGTGGCAAACGGCTATTCAGAGCACTTTGTGGAGTTTGTGAAGTCTGTCCGTGCCCTGTTCCCACATCACACCATTATGGTAAGTGTGTAGAAAGGATGGAAGGGGGATGTGGGAGTTCTGTCCAGGAACGGGGCCCATAGTTTTGCTGGTAGGCATCAGAAGCACTGTGGTAGCTCCATCAATTTCAGAGTCCTCATTTAAAAAAAAGGAAAGAAAAGAAAGAAAGAAAAAAGAAAGAAAGGAGGGAAAGAAAGAAGTCTGACTCAAACCTCTTGTCTTCCAGACAAATACATGTGGACAGATATCCTGAGAATATAGAGGGCAGCTCTATTCACCTACCCTTTCAATTCAGCAAGATGTTGACTCTGAGCCAAATGACAAATGTTTAATAACATGTTGACATTGTCAGTCTTCCATTGCTGCTAATTTCTGTGGAAATGTTCAATGTGTGCTCTGGTACAGAAGTTTGATGTTGGCATGGCAGGCTGGGTGGATCCCATTTTTTTCCTGCTCACATCCTCCTTCTGACACTAGATGTGACTTCTGATCATAAAGTGTGTAAATTTGTTTTGGTGATTCCAAGCTGAGGTTTGCTGTGGGAATGCACTGACGTTTCTGGCTAGGTGAGGCAAATGGCGATTTTCATCTATTAGATCACCATGAAGACAGCTGAATGTAGACTAATCCTTGCCTATGATAAGAATCTTAGGGGTGTTGTGCGATTGTGAACAGGGTCATCAGGTAGGAAAATAGTCACTGGTGGGGCTTTTCATGCGCCTTCTGTGATGTTACTATCCCTTCTCAGAGTGCTAATGCCATGCTTCCTGTGGGCCTTTTGCACTAAGAGTAGGGTGTTTGCATCGACATGGGACTCCTTGCAGCAGAGCTCTACTGCTCCTGCTTGTTTCTCAGGGCCCTTGAAGAAATGGGTCTGAATTGGTTTCTATGAGAACAGCAGAAGTTCTTAAACAAGCAGCAGATTCTTAAAGAGGCTACCAGCCTTTCTTCAAGCCAGTGCAGCAAAAAATCACGTGTTTAGGCAACGCTTAATCACTTTTTCATGCCAGACATAAAGCTTCACCCATGTAAAGTAAATGTGAAGCAAAAATGATCATAAATGCACACTCTGACTTGGTTCAGTAGGGAACTGCATGTTCAAGCAGCTCAGGAGACTACATTCCTTCTCCGATGTTGGAGGAAGGCAGGGTTCTTGCCTCTGAATGGTGGTGGCATTGGATAATAGAAGTGGGCTGGAATGCCTGTGGGGTTCTGGGTTACCGTAGGCTAATGAATAGACATCCTTCAACAGCTATCAGCAGATGTGAGAACTTTTTTGGTATGGCCATATTTCCCATGGCTTTGGGGAGAGCTTTGGAAGTATGAAATGATAGATGTGGGCTTTTTAGCTTCCTGCTCTGTGTTCACTGCGGTGAGGGAAGGAGCTGTTTCCTTGCTTTGGATCTGAAGTATTGTGCCTAGTCATGTGATTAGTTCGGTGTCTTTGGCTTGAAGAGTTGTAGGCTGCAGCTTAAACCACATAGTTTTAAAAAAACATCTTCCCTGTCAGGAGAGGAAAGAAAATTGTGTGTCATCCCCTCCTCCAATTTCCCACAGAGTGCTGACTTTGGTGACTGTGGAGGGAACTCAACCAAGATGAATTGCCCAAAAGGCACAGGAGGTCAATGTCAAAGTCAGGTATCAAGCCCAGATTTTAGTCCAGGGTCCTTAAGCCAGTCTCATCTACCTCTCATCTCTGTTAAGCTACCTGCTTAGTTTCTCTGCTTCTGTGACTAAGGTTGTTGTTACTTCAAGTCTCATTGTCCTGACAGCACCACCTGCTTGAACGCATATACAGCCCTGACCTGTTCACTTGCCTTCTCTGATTGTAGCTTCTTTCTCTGAACATGGTTTGGTATAGCTCATGTTTTTCATCTCATGCACGGGGTTAATTTCCATTCCATTCCTAAAAGCATGCTAACAAACTTGGGGTGTTCAAAAACCTGCTGTTTTCCAAAGCCTCCAGAGTCTGTGCAGACCCTGAAAGTCTCTGATTCAACTAGGGACACATGCCTCTACCCACTTCCAAATGAGTTTACTTTACACTGTGTGCCAAAATGGCCTTTTGAAGCTATTCCTGGCTAAAATGCAGGAGCTTGTCTAAGCTCCTTTTTATGATACTCTGGAAGACATGTCCTGCTGCTACCTGTTCTGTCTGCTTTGAAGTCTCTGTGCTATGCCTGCAGTATACTCTCTGCTGTTGTGGCTTTCAAACAAAAGGGTTAGCAGTTAAACAGAAGGTATAAAAATAAAGAGGCTTTCTCATAGCTGAAAGTGATCTCCAGGACCTTGCAGGCTGTCTTGTTTGCTTTCCTCAGCATGACCATTCATTCCACAGTCAGCTGCACTGCAGTACACAACAGTAACCCAACCCCGGGTCTCGGGGAATGTGTGTTCCCAGGGGCCATGTCATGGGTTCAGCTCTGGGGCTGAAAGGTGATGTGCAAAGCAACTGCGGTTGACGTAGTACTCTCTGTGGCCGATACTCCAGTGCAGGTGGAGGGTGTCTCTTGTGTAACAACCTTTCAAATGTCTGTTTTTGCCTTTTTAAATACTTGATTTTATAATCCCATTACCTTATTTTCTTCTGCCTGGCTCTGACACAAGCTCTTTTCACTCCTGCCTTTCATATTAATTTACAAAGAAGATCAGTTTCTCCACAGAATACAAAGGATAGGGAGCACAGATGGGCACAAAGGTACAATATGACTTGCCTTAAATCAGTCATTAGACTGAGGATGAAGGAAGCAGCAGTATTCAAGTCTCATGAGTGTCTCACAAATGTGGCACTGCCCCCCAGAATCAAGAGTAATGGTCCAGTGGGGTGCTTTGCTGTAGCACAGCGTCATGTGCTGGGGTTGTGCCTACTCACTGAAGTCTAAAGCAAAACTTCAGTTGACATTCATGATAAAGGGTCAGAGCCTTTATATTACAGTAAGTGTAGTCCATATTTGTTAGTGTAATTGTGGACGTTAGGGTTCTTCCATTTTGCTGGAAGTCTGTTTAGCAAGCTAACATATCTTTGCCAGCAAGCTTTGCCAAGTTTTTATCCTCAATTTGTCTTTTCTTTTCATAGTGTTCTCTGTTCATTGTACAGAAGAAACCGTAGGGAGGGGAGCAAGGAGTGTGGCAGGAAGGAGAAGCCTGGGGCAGGAGCATGCTTGCAGATGCAGTAGCACCTACAAGATATGGGCCAGAGAGGGAGGCAAGCAAAATGGCAAAACAGGAGTAGAGGGAGACAACAGGGGCCAAAAATTGTTGCTCCCCTGGAAGTCAGTAGCAGAACTTCTCAGAGCCTTAGTGGAGGCAGAATTCAGACAGAGAAAGCCATGCAGGCTGCTCCCAGTTTATCTCTAGAACAAGGAGCAGAGTCAGTCCAGTCATGGCGTGTCTACCAGGGCTGGGGTCTCAGAGCAGGGGCCAGCTGGGATGCCAGGGTAGGAAACAGCAATGCTGCCAAGGCTGTCTTGAGTCAGGCACAATACTGAGTGCAAACAGCCACCTGGTGTGGCTCAGCCTTGCAAAGGGCATCATCTCTCCATTTTACGGTAAAGCACCCCTTGCTTTGGTGGGTGGGAAGTGTCCTTTGGCAGTGTTCCTGATAGTGTGGAGGCACAGACTGTGCTTTCCTCTAAGATACAAGAAGAAAGTTTTGAGAACTGTTGTCACAGACACTTCTCCACAGCTTGATCCATTGCCATTTGCCAGCAGCTTTCAATCAGTGCAGCAGTGTTCCTGTCTTAGTCAGTGTGAGTCGATATTTATAGCAGGCTTTTATGAGGCACAGTATCAAATGCCTGACTGAAATTCAGAGGCACTGCCCTACTGTGTTCACTAATTTTGTATCTCTGTCAGAGAAGCTGTAGCCTTTATAATCTTGTTAGGTGAAATCTTGATCCCATTAAAGTCAGTAGTGAAACTCTCTGACTTTTCTGAGGCCGGGGTTTCCCTCGGGGCTGACCCACAGTTCAGTCATCCTGGATAGTGCTAGAATGAGCCAGGCTGTCACTCACTTGAAACCTTACACTGAGTGATGGTATAGCTGAATGTCGCCCTGCGTGTGTAAGGCCAGGCCCACAGCCAGAGTAATTTGTTGTGGCCCCTAATAACTGACCACACTGAAAGCGTGGTAGTTTATCTGACTTTGCTACTGATGCTGTTACTTTACTACCGGGGCTTTTACAAGCAAAGTTAGATTAGCAGTAAGGTAATTACTGGGCTATATGTCTTTCAAGAAAGACAGTTCTGCAGCAGATCAGAAATGCATTGGTACGTGGGCTCATCATTAAGATGAGCATGGTTTTCACTAATACAGTACTTCCACCAGTTACTGTGTTCCTTGACTGCTTGCCCAAAAGCACTACCAAATGTATTGTCTGTAGTGGCTTCTTTGTACAAGTTCCAATTACTTTACTTGCTTTATATTCTTAGTTAATTTTAAAGGGGTTTCATTTCTATAGTCTCAGTCTTTCTATATTCACTTTTTCAGACTTTTTTTTAGCTTTACCTTACAGGTGGGTCTTTCAAAAGCTCTTTTACCTCTATTCAGCTGTCATACTGGCATCTATGGTAAAGCAAGCATTGGTTTCAATGGAGGCAGAGTTCAGCTGGATGTCAGACAACAGCTTTCCGTGCTCTTCAGCTGTGATACTAGGGTCCCTTCACATACAGATAGCTGTGCCTCTCTTGTGGTGTTTTTTTTTTGTGCTTTCTGAGGCCTGCAAAAGGTGCCTAAAAGAAGCAAGCCTTTCATCATCAGGTTGAAGTCTGCTATGTAGAGCTCCACGTCTTCCCTGAAAATTTGTTAAGGATCTGCAGATTCAGAAAGACAGAAATCACTGCTGTGTGTACATGCATTCCAGGAAAAAAATGTATGCTGGGGACATAAGTGCTTTTCCCTGCTAGGATGAGCATTTTGAATCAACATATGCAGTTCCAACATTCTCTAGCAGTAACTTAACATTAAACGTCTGGTTAGCATTTCTGAAGAGACAGTTTGGCAGCCCACTATGCTCTGCTAA